TGCAGGCCACCAGTACAAGCCGACCCACCGTCGTAGCCGTCGTGCTCGTATTTGACTCGCTGTTTTGTCGATCGCCAATTCCACGCTGATCGTATTTTCGTTCCAATGGCGTGTTTTCTCTGTGGGACGAAAACGCGATACAGTACTGCCGCGTTAACCCACTAAGAGCCAACGTTGCGTTAATGCAACATTTATGCAATTTTTATTTCAATCAATTTATATTATTAAATTTTGGTTTTTAACATTCTGGATATGAAGAAAGAATTTCAAGGGTTTGCTTGGTAATTTTTTCAGCGCTATTTTGTCCACATGTATTCTACGAGTTTATGAAATTTAAAGAAACTAAGATATTTGTAAAGTTATGATAAGTGATAAATCATGGTTCGATACTTAAACAGGTATTGCGGCTATGAAAAAAGAATTCCGTGAAATCCATGGTACTAAAATACCAAGAAGGAAACTTGTTTTATTAACGAATTTTAAATCTCTCTTCTTAGTTTGGATAATGAAAAAATGCTAGGTAAAACATTTTTTGACTAAAAAGGACAGGGTAATGCTCCACTAACTGACCACGAGTCGGAACCTTATTTCTAAGAGATACGTTTCTTCTCCATTAAATGCGAATAAAATAGAATACCTGACACATTCGTTTATTTTACATAAGTACGTAACACTAGGAGCTCAATGAAATTATAATAGTTTCGCAAAGTAATGGAGATAGCGACGGTCAGTTCATGTAGCAAAATGGTGATTAATTAATGCAGAACTACTAACATGGATATATATGTAAAATGAATAAATGTGTCAGATACTCATCTTTCACTTCCACTTAACCCATTAAGGACCAAGCTATGCAATATAGCGTAAAAAAGTAAATAATATACAACACTAAAAAATGCACAAATTTGAAAATCTGGAAATCCGAACATTTGAAGATCTAAAAAATCTGAGAAGTTGAAAGGTTGTTGAAAATAACAACTTTAAAATAGTATGTCGTATTAACGCAATATTGACTCTTAATAGGTTAATGGAGACGATATTTGGGATTTCCTAGATCTACCTCTCTGAATAATTGGCCAAATAAGGTTCCCATCTCTGGCTAGTTAGAGAAGTATAGCTGTCTACACTCTACACAAGACATAAGACAACATAAAGAAACAACATTTTCCCGCGTTAATTCACAAATCGACTACTCGTAACAACATCTTGGCATCGGCGTCCTAATCATACTTTTTCTTTTACTTCATAGACGAGCGAGAAGTTGAAAAATAAAAAAGGAAAGATGTATGGCATTGTATTGTAGATTAATTTAAATTAAATTATGTCAATACCATGAATATGTAATTCGGTTAATCACTACTATGCTCCTGTTATTACACATCTGTTATATTACACTCATAAATACAATTTATATGAGAACAAAAAGATAGATATTCAGTCCACTTCTTTACTGAAAAAGTAAAAATTCGCACATTCATGATTTTGACACAAAGAAAATGATGTGATGATGAATAGTGAGTATATCTCGGTTGTAAGTGAATCTATGATGATGTTCGTTGATTTACCACGTTTGGTTAGTCGAAAATTATCATATCATGTAACCTATTTCAAACATCGAGTAGAATGAGAAATTAGATCGTAGGATCATTATCCAATAAACAGATGATGTTGAATTCTGATTTCTGACTGTGCAGAATAATTTCGTAAGAGAATAAGAATAAATAGATGAAAAAAATATTTTCCTTTATTAAACTCTATTCAAAATAATGTATTTTTTATATCATGTTAAAAAACCTTATAAATAATAAAATACTCCTGATCTACCAATATAAATACCATAATTAAATTTGAAAGTATTAACAAGTATAAGTAAATACATTTCACAATCCTAAATACTAATACAATAACAATAACACACAAGGTGTTATATTCATAAAAAGAATAAATATTGAAATACTATAATATATGATATAAATTTTTCGGTATAGTGAGATACTGTAAAAAAAGCGCTAACGATAATCATACTGAGTAGATAAAGTATACATGTATATAGTGCGTTCACGCACTATCTTTCTCGTCTCTGAATGCCTCTCTATTACTCCCACTCCTTTTAGCACACCGTATCATCACTCAGTAGACGACACACGGATAATACGTATTAACGATTTATCCGATGAGAACGTGCGATAGTATACCACACGTATATTACGCAGGCCAAATCGATATTGCATTGCAACGTGTTAGTTGACACAAACTATCAAAAAAAAGGAAGAAAAAAGAAAGAAGAGAGAAAAAGCTTAGTTCCCATAAATTTACACGTACGTATGATCGAAAACGATCTAAAAACATCTACGGAAGTTCTACTCCATCTGCGAAGTTCCTTTCTTTCTTCTCTTCTTCTCTCTCTTTCCTACTTCAATATCTTCCCCTCCCTCTCCCCACCATCAAACCACGTTTCCTGTCTCATATGCTACGTTCCCTCGATCCTTCTCTCTTCTTTATTTTCCCTGTCTCTCTCTCTCTCTCTTTCTCTCCTCTCTCGCTCCTTCTACCTTTTTCGCATTATCTTACTCGCTCTTTTGTTCTTACTCAGTTCTCCCTCTCCTTCTTGCCTCCCCGAAGAACTCTCTTGAGCGACTGGCTATAAAATGGCAACCGTTGCGGCCAAGCACGATATCGAGTAGCACACGCCGCTGCTACGTCGTTACGTTTACTCTACCTCTCTGTGCTTTTTTTTCCTCTCTCTCTCTCTCTGTTTTCGTCCCTCTTTTTTTCTCTGTTGTTCGTTACGGTGTCACTTAGACTGAATCCAGTTCGTTGGTCGATTCGCGGCTACGAACCGGTTCGATTTTCGGTATTGTGCGCCGCGTCAGAGAACCGTTGTACCGACAACGACCACGCGACAATTTATCGACCCTCGTACGATATTCCCAGGAGTGATATTCTAAACTACACAAATGAATTGCTCGATTTCTCGTCCAAAATTCTCCCCTCTCACTCCCTTCTCTCTCTCTCTCTCTCTCTCTCTCTCTCTCTCTCTCTCGATATTTCTCTGCTCGATCAGATTCTTACCAAAGATCAACACTGGTTTCCTATCGCGTTATTCTCGGCGTGTCTAATCTCGCTGGCCCGTGTAAACGTCTGACGATTAAACCGGTATTGGGATACGATCGTCCGTGAACGACGACACAAGGAAATAATCGCCCAAAAATCTGCTTCTCTCTTTCTCGTTTCTTCTCTTTCGTGGTATACGTCGAAGACGTACAAATATATATGTATATATATATATATATATCTACTCGTCGCGAATAGGAAAAATTGTCGAATGTTAGAGAGTTGTGGCTCGTGTAGGGACGCGTTTGTATTTCTACTCGATCGACCAAGAATCGCTACTAAAATCCGTGCGAGTTTTTTTCACGACACGTCTGGACGAGTAAGGCTCGCTACGAGAGCGGAACGATTTTCCCCGAAGCCGAACCCGGGAGTGACTAAAATCGAAATCGGTGGACGAACAGGGGCGCGTCAGGGCGCGCATGTGCGACGGCGCCGCCGGTCGTCGACGCATATTATCCGTACCGTGTTTCGTGTTGCTATCGTGTGCGCGTTCCCGGGTCTCTCTTCGCTAAGGAATTACTAACCGACCTGATCACGTTCGACTCACTCGAGCCTCGTCCAAGCGAATTCTCATCGATCGGGAGCCGCTTACCACAGCTCCCTTTTTCTCGCGCGCATCTTCAAGATGCCCGCCATCTTGGACACACTGTACACGCAAATTGAAATGCGTCTCTTGCCCATTGGGTCGCGTTCTTTACGCGGTAATTAACCCTCCGAGTACGGACTTTGAAATAGAGCTAGAGAGATATTGATAGTCACAATCTTCGATAATTATCGATTACTTTCGATAGTTTAAATTCCACGAATTTTTCTAACCAATGAAATCTATGATAGAATTGGTAGTTAAGAATTACAATCTGTCATCTGATAGTTAGATTTTGATTGACTTCTATTTTGAATATTATGAATGAATATATGCTAATAAATATACAACAAAAATATCGAAATTATCGATAATGACAAAACAACATCGATTGTTTTAGATAGCGAGGGTTATCGATAATAATCGATATGTCGTCGGTATTTCGCCGTCTTCACCATGAGATCTACGACTCGAGCGAAAAATGGGAAATTATAAATAAATGATACTGTAAGAAAAGCAGATAAATATTCCTCTGTGTTTTGTTCTTATTTAGTTTTACTGTATCTGTTGTATAAAACTGTTACATTATGTATAAAGCGAATATTGCAAATATAAACGAAAATAAAGTTAAATGCAAACAGAAATTTTTCTCCTCTTATTTGTTAACTCGTCATTTTACGACTAACATAAATAGTTTCTGAAACTTTATGCGTTATTACTTTAGATTCGGCAGATCTCCAATGATTTGGCTATAGAAATGCAAGGATTGAGAACATATTCACACTGATGGTTTTCAAGCGATTACTTTACCGCTACTGTGTTTCATTTTAAATTGTGAGCGGTTTTATTTGTCTAATTAATTATTTGCACAATGATAAAATGTTTATTAAAAAGAAAACGAATTACTCTATAAATTAGTGTAATATGATATTTATCACACAATATATTCTATAGTATTTATTAGTAACTTCATAGTTAAACAAAAATAAAGTTAACGATCCAAACGATTGCAGAAATAATGAAATAATTACAATTTTCACAAACATTTCGAATTTTATGTTATATAAAAGACCGCCTGTATGTGTGAGTAAGTGTACGTAAGTATATATAAAATAACTGTTGGCTATCAATCGCGCGATAATACTCTCGCCTGATTTTAGACGAACGATCGCTAACAATAATCTGTTTTTGAATATGTAGGATACTGCGGATTTATAAGCAGCGATTACGCTGGGCATTAACATTAACAGAATGAATTCATGTATTTTCTACGTAATTATTAGTCCTGACTGATTGAAAGATTCAATTCATTATAGTTGTAATGCTAGTCTAAAATTATAGATCTAAAATTATATATTGTATAAATTCCCAAACACTGAAATTTATGCATTCTTAGTCGTTTTAATTAAAATTAATATTTATACGATGATTTATATGCTAGATAATTGAACACGACCACATATGTTCAGTCTTCTTTTTATAGTAGAATCACTTGTACATCTCATTGTAAATGTAAATAAGAGTTACAGTGTTTAATTCGTTATAACTTTCCAATTCATTTATAGTAATCTTAAATCGATAGCTAGAAATATGAATCTCTGTTTTTAATTGTATCTAATCACTCTACTGATTTTTCTATTCCCTATTAATCTTCTGGAGAATCATTTAATGACTTTCATTAGTGTCTTAATTTAAAACACAATAATTTATTAAATCACATATCAAAAAGAATTATCCACTCTACACAATACTATATAACATATAACAAACCATTTCCAATATTGGATTTCCAAGATTGGATTCTGATTATTAATAAATTATTAACAATTATAAAAGTCTTCAAAACACTTACTTTTCCTGGCTGTAGCTCGCGTCTTCGGTCTCCTACCTTTCTGTTCTGGTACATTATTCTCCTTGTGAAGCACTCGTTGTGGTACGTTCATAGACTTGACAGTATTTCCCTCTACGTCTACGAAACACACAAAGTTTAAACGTGATATTGTGCATTATGAAAATATCCCCTCAGATGTATTTTTGAAAATTCAGGTAGGAATCGATAAACGAGCTAAATTATAATCAATGGAAAAGTTGGTGAACCTACTTGTTAACACGCTAGGTTTGCCAAGAGCCAAGTATCGTTTCCTGGCAATCTGAGCGGCCGCGAAGTCTGGCTTATGATTGTGCTCCATACGCACCCTTGGCTTCGTCCAACTCGTGGTAGTGATAAGACTGCCTCTACAATGCATAGTTCTGCGAACACATCTCCATCGGATATTGTACGGTTGCTTCTTGTGCAATGTATACATGTAACCGTGGTGAATTAATTTTGGCCCGCCTTTATTCGATAGTACAACCTGCAGAGTTCGGAATCTTTAATTAGACGTTTCATGTTCTATAGTTATATGAAAGTACTATTAAATATAAAATTAAACATACTTAGATCTACTTAATTAATATGTGATTGCTACGATAAATACAGTCGTGTTCAAATACCTTTTGCAGTCATTGTATATGTTATTATATGTATATTACTACGAAACAGTTATGTAAATATCCAGTTACATTTGATTTTTTGATTCGCATAATAGTGAAATAATAATTGTATTTTATACAAACAATTCTAATTATTTAAAAAACTTGATAATTAAGTGATTCCTAAATTCTTTTATTTTATACTTCGGCTACGTTCGGATCATCATCGCTAGAATTCCCAGCAAGAACGGACGATGTGGAAGCTTCTTCCTTGATCTGCGTTTTGTTTACGTTGGACGCACTTTTCACGCGTTGTGGCATCCTGCTCATTCTTTTTTTATTTTCCCCGGTGCTAAGTACTGTAAACTCTCAACGGCCTATTTTTCGTGACACTGACCTGAAAAGATAATTAGTATTACTAAAAAGAAATATTATTATATCTATATATATATATATATAAGTAATCTAATTTCAATAAAGTGTTGTATTTTAAACTGTATTTTGAGTACACATATTATTTTTCTTTTTAATATCAAACTTACACCTCATTAGTAATATTTATATATTATAAAAAGACAATTATTAATACATTAAAAAGTTCTATTGAATGATAAACAAAACTTATTAAATTATCAAATTAATTTACTACTAATTCACATTTTATTTGAATGAAAGATTTATTAAAAATCCTGTTTATGACATGTATACGTATATTAAAAAAATTGCAGTGAGCGATCAAACTAACTTTCATTTCATTTGATTCGCATAAAATATTAAATTTATCAAAAATTATGTTCTATCATGTATAGAATAAAGATAGCGACACGTGCCAAGCTTCACTCCCAAATTCAGACGCGATTCTTCGATCTGAGGCTTTTGCACGACCGTCGATCTCGAGCGATATACCGGCAAGACGATTTGCGCAATTGCATCTGTTAGCTCGGCTTCTATTACTGTGAAATCGCCTAAACGTCTCCATACCTATGCACGCGCCAAAAATAGTACGGAACAGAGAAATGAACAGAGAGTCTATAGAACCTCGGAAATCGTGCGTGCTAGAAATTTCAGTCTGCCTCGTGTTCGTCCGCGGGCTGACCATTCTTTTTTCAACCTCTGCCTTCCTTACTTCGTCTTTTTTACACTTCGCTTTCGGTTACATTGTTTCGTTTGTCCAGATCTAAAATTGCATTCACGGCGAAGTGTGCGGAGAAATCGTCCGTCTCGAAATTAATTGGAACAAAAATAATTGTAACAAATAAAAAGATTGGAAATTGATTGTAAAAAATCAGAATTTTCGTATTGTTCATTTTATTATTGATTATTGAAAAATTAAAATTATTTGGAATATCTGGATCCGTGATAAATTAAATAAATTATTGAAAGAGCTTATCTTTATAATAAATGGTGAGTTCCATTCGAAAGAAGATAAATGTACACATTGCTTAGATTGCGTTTCTATCTTATATCACTGTGAATATTTAATTTGTCCATACTGTCTCTTTTTTATCGGATATGTTTGCACATTTATTGCTTTTTTGCGATTTTCTAATATTATTTTTGTCAACCTTTTTATATAACTATTTTACTTCTCATTATTCCGTATTACTTCATGGAAAGCGTGGAAAAATACAAGATAAAAGTTGGTTCGAAGTACTCGTCACTTCATTGTACCAATATCAATATTGATGTCTATACATGTCACTGTTCGAAAATTTTATTTAGTTTGTTATGCAAAGTGTGCAAATTTGAGACGTGTAAATTTATAATAAAAAACACATTAGTAATCAATGTAAAAAAATCCGTGCGTCATTGAATGTATCTCTGCTGCAATTTTTACTTTTCGTTTCCACCATTTTCGAACTAACGCTTCCGGTAAACACGAAAGTAGGAAAATTCCGTAGAAGTGAAGATCTAAACTCCTTTTTCTCATTTTTCAGAAATATAATTTCAAAAGAGTATAATATATAATAATATAATAAATAAGTTATAAGAAAGAAAATATATTGACAATAGAAACTTAAACAAAATTATAAATTAAAAACAGTCGTGGCACAGCCTTTCTCAACATCAATGAACGCACGGTTGAAGAATTCAGATGAAATTTTTATTTACTCAGTCATCGAAAAGAGCAACATTTTCTACATGAGTGAGAAGTATCAAAGTAGCAATAATACTCACGTGTTGTCGATGCGTAATTCTATCACAAAATTCGTAGGAACGTTCAAAGTACAGTTATATATATGTACATTATACATACATAAATTGAGAAAGTAACGAGTACAGAGAAAAAAAAGGAACGGTAAGAACTCTATCGTTTATTCTATGAATCTAATCGCGATTCTGGATCTGAATCGAGATGAATCGATATTTAGGTAACGAGCGTGATCACTTTTGCCGGACAGGCTGCCTTATAGCCGTTTTCGCGGAAACTACTGAATGGTCAACAAAAATGGCGAAACGCTAGTGATTGGATTTTGCGCAATAAACGCCACACTCTGGAGCAAGGAATATGGCACCGGACAAGCGCAATCAATGAACGGCACTATGGCACCCGTCTGTGGTTTATTCACGCTCCATCGTTTCACACTTTTACCATTTACGCACGGATGGCGCTTTCCACGAGATCGTTACTAAATTATCTCAGTTTTTGTCTGTCTTACGATCTTACCTGTTAGGCCACGATTAGCGATTAAGATCGAAGAGCAATAAGCGGTAAGCGGTAAGCGACAATCTTTTATCGCTGGTTGTTCAGCTGCTATATATGGTCTATTCCATATATGTAGATCTATAGGTTTGATTTAATTTCTGTGGCTCAATCGTCACTTGTTTTGTCACCCTGTCGCTTATCGCTTACTGTTTGCCGCTTACCACACTTTTGTATAACGGTCTTTAGTTTATTAACTAGCGTCGATGGGCGTCAATCTATGAAAAGATTGACAATAGCCATACGTTCATGTCTTTGTTAAGACGACTATTCATTCATGTTGATTGTAGATATATATATCTATACAGTATAGCATGTTTCAAGGCGACACAGGATAACTTTTAATTTTTCGTCTGTCTTCTGACATTATATAGCCTTATTAAGCGGCATCGATGGAGTGAACATCGATCTATGGAAAAACTGACAGTAGCGACGCTCTCGTATTTCTGCTAAAACAACTGTAGATACATGTATATACCAATGTATACATATATATATATATATATATATATATATAGTATCTCAAAATATGTGGAGAATATTTGTAGGGTCAGTTCTAGATATTGAGATAATGAAAAAAATTTCATTGCAAAAATTTAATTTGAGAATTCTCGTTTGAGCTTTTTTTGCAAGTTGCAAACAATTTTATTTCACTCTAGAAATATACTCGTATGGTAACTTTTCTTGTTATCTTATGCTTCATGTTTCTTACGAGCTGAAATAAATAGCATAGGATCTGGATAGGATTCTGATTGTTAAATTAGAATGAGAAACATGAACGGTGAGTAAAATAAGAAAGTTAAAAGTATAATTGTTAAGCCACAAGGAATATTTTTTAAATTACGAGAAGGATGGAAAACATATTTAATTTAAAAATCAAATAATTTGGAAACATAAGATTAATTGACGGTAAATGTGCTGAATTTTGTGAATTTGCTGAAAACGTGACTTATTATATTTAAAAATATACAATAAAATTTCAGTAACTAAAAACGAGGATTGTTTCAGCCTTTGAATAATGAAAGACACAACATAGGTTAAAGTGCAAAATAACTTAATTAAAAACGAACGCAGCTATACACGCTAAGCAATTGGCAGCATTTGGAACAATTATTTGTCTATATTATTAAAGCGAATCTTCAAAATTACTTATTTTACATAAGGATTTCAAGGTCAATTTGCTGGAAAAAAAATCTCATATAAAATAATTCTATTCTACTTTTTCGACTTATTTTTTATGTAGAATCATTCACTTCCTATAATTGTATCATAATTATTAATGTATACAGAAGATCCTATATATATATATACATATATGTGTATATTGTGAATTCATCATGATTATCGATTCTGTAGTAACATAAAAATATTTGTTTTTCATGGAAGAGTTGTAATGTAATGGTTGTGGAAATCAATACGCATGATAAGACATTCTGGATTGGTAAAATTGGAAACATCCGTATCATCGTAGATAAAAGCCTGTAACTATCCGCAATGATCACTTGTATAGCACAGGAATACACATATGTATATCAAGATTCATTGTGTTCTGAATCTATAATAATCTTTAAAAAAGCTAAAAAAAAATGCTTTTTATTTATCCTATACATAATAAAATCTCACAAATATTTAATTGCATGTGCTCTTAATATATTGTATTGCATGTTTAAAAAGTACAATGTATAGTGCTGTAAAATATTGAACAAAATTTATGTTGGAAATGAAGTATGAAATATTATAAAACAAAGCTCTTTTTTTGGTAAATTTTATTTGCTACATTTCAACACTCCAAACGTGTCATACCATCTTTCTTTTTTCTTCAAGTATGCTCATTTTTTGTTTTTTCTTCTCAACACTATTTTGATACGCGAAATTCGATCCTTCACGTTTTACTACATTCTTTCTAGCATTTAAGTACTATACGATCGTGTTGTGTTGTTCTTACACCATCTACCCGTAGCAATTCGTCCTTTTCTACTTTGACTTGACCGATTCCAACGCGTATATTTCTATCTGATTCTACTTTTATGTTTATCCCTTCTCTTATTTTATTTAGAATCTTCGTTCGCATATTTTTATCGTCTATTTATATTTTCTTTTAATGTAAAGATTTGTTAATTTAAAAAACCAATGCAAAAGAAATATCATGTGCTAGATTATATAACAATCAATTTTTGTAATAAAAATAAGAGACGAAGAGTGTTTCGTTTTTTTTTTCATTAATGTTTTCGTGCTTCAATATTTTACATTAACAACGTAAATTCGAAAAATGAAAAATAATAAAAAACTTCGAAATATAATTTGTAATTCTATAAATGTTATAACTTTATGAATTATTCAATACACCAGCGAGACTGTTTCTTTGAATTATTTTTATTAACCGTTTCAAAGGGTATGTTAAAAGATTCGTTTGTAATGGTTCATTGTTTTTAATGTAATTTATAGAAGTACAATATTAATTAAATCGATTATATTAAATATTGTTTCCTTATATGCACTATGTAACCGAATAACAATATAGACAAGACTAGCAGGCGGTGACCTTCGGTAGCATTACTCCTTCACATAGTTTTTCTTTCTTCCTCGTCTTTTAGTCATTTTTTCAACGCTGTATTCGATCGACTTTCTTTTCACAAAGTTTTATTCATTCCTCTTCTCTTCTCTTCCTCGTTTGATGATACTTTCCTCGTTTTCTCTCTCTTCCTAGCATGTGTAGTATGTAATCTTTCATTGTTTCTTGGCAGCATTTTTGAACGATGGATAATAAATATCGCAATGAAATAAATATCAAAAGGAAGCCCGTTCGAACTTAAGGACACGAGATGATCAATTTAAAAATGTCATATGCTCTTTTCAGAAGAGAATTGAAGGAGAAGTCGGTCCTTCTGGTCAAAAAAATCATATACGCGTTTTCAAAACTGGCGGTTTTAACATAACCCTCATCCGTCCCTCATTTTAATAATTTAATGTGTCTCTCGTGTGTCAAACTGACATAATCGTAAAACATCAATAAAATGAAATAATTATTTTTTCTCCTTATCGTTTACACACATTCACACTAATTCTCCTTCACAAGTATCGAATTTCATTCGCACGTGTTCTACTTCGCATTGCTTCGATGTTACTGTTCTTAGCTTTGTCTCGCGACAAACAGAACAAAAAGAAGACATAACGCCTCTTCTTTTCTTTATACCCATACGAAATTTTAATACTCAAAGCTATGCATGTCTAATTGCATTCTGGAAGAGATGTACAGTGAATGCATAATTGTTGTGCAACAATAACAAGGCAATGAACTAGTCGTCAATGGACTTGATCAGAACTATGTGTGTCAGATTGACAGATAGGGCCCTTTTTCTAACAAGTGTTGTCACACCCTTTTATCGCATGTTTTGCCCTTAACAATACTAAATATATACATATACATATATATATTCCACGTTAAAAAAATAAAAATCACAAGGTCAGATCAATTTTCTACAAATAGCGGAATAACATCATCTTTCACGTGAAAAATGTGTCAAATTGACACGAGGTACGGATGAGGATTAATATAATTAATTGTTTTAAAGACACGGGCAACGAATGTAGTATTAAAAAACTTTGTCATGTGTAAATTTGCGTCACATGGGATTTAGTGTTGCAGAGAAAAGATTTTTATTCATAATTAACCCTCCACGGACCATTTCATATAATTTATTAACTTATAAATTTCAATCTTACCAAGAAACATTTGTATTCTCTAACAGTTTTATTTTATATCGTTTAAATTAATAATCAGATAAAAGATGTCACAGAATGGGTTATAGAGGGTTAACGAACATAATTAAAATCTGTGAAATTATATACGCTTTATGCAAATTCACCGAGGGCATTATTGAAATGAACGTATCAAATATTAATTACCAAGCACACATTTTCAAATTTCTCTATTATGTTGATAGCAATATAAAAACGTAAAGATGCGTATGTATATATGCATATCTTATCGAAAGAAGAGCGTTGGAATGTGTATTGTATATACACAGGTTAATGCAATAAAATATAAATACAATAACACAATAATATACATAATTATATAGTATATAGAACATATATCGTTACGGGCATAGCGAAAAACACGCGAATATTTTTCTGGAGCATACGAATGAATAACAAAAATGGATGCATCAAATCATCGTGCATACATATAAAATTCTTTTCACGCTAATCATCGATAAATTCGTATATATACAAATTTGTTGGCTCTTTCCGCCTATATTTAATTCTAATGTAATCACATTGGCCGATCGGCCGCTACTAGAAGTGTTATCGTATATGTATGCACGTGGAAAAGTTGATCGAAACAGAAAAACGAGTTGCCAATGCCTTCAAAATTTTAGCTTTGATAACATATTGTGGATGTTATAATACACCTTAATATACCTACCGATATTTCTGTATCTTGGCTCACGTTTGGATGATAAACGTTTTAAACGTAACCATTTCTCCAATCGGGTCGTTACAATCTTTTGCCTACTGATTTTCCTTCTTTTTCTTGAAGAAACGCTTGTGTACGTTGTAACTGATTTATGGTTTTATTTTTTGTTACTATCTTGCTTTTCGAACAATTTTATTTATTTTATATTAATATTAATATTTCGCTGTGGTTGGAGTTTGAGCAGTTCAGAGAATAATTGGTTACTTCAATTCCAATAGTATCAATGGTGAATATTTATTGAAATTATATTTCTTGTTCAAAATCGTTTAAATTTTTAATTAGATGATGGTAAGGTCCTAATAAAAACTTTTGAGCTCCTGTCTTCTCTTGTCTTTAAGTTTCCGTCTTCCTTTTTAGGTTAGACCTCTAATAATAAACGCTTGGTATTCTTGATGGTTAGGGTTTGCGTTAACATCTTGAAGACTTGGATAAATGCGTTGTGTCTGTCTACCGATGGCAGATTTGAAAAACGCTGTATGACATGTGATCTTAGTGTGTTGAGTTCTACATTGGTATTCTTGATTTACAGGAAAACGTTTCAACGCACTTGATCATGAATAAAAACAATGGGGTAATCTGTAACGTGTTTTGACAATCTTCTCCATTACAATGATTTAGCAGTGATCGTATTACATTTGTGTCAATTGTAACAAGCTGGATGTTTTGGCACTCGTCAATGTCCTTTTACATCTTCAATTTCACCAAAAACGAAGCAAATTATTCGTACAAATGCTCGTTTTACACATTTAGATTTATTATTAACTTAAAATTTTAAGATTCATATATATGGCTATATATCTTATAGGTATATGTTATAGCCTTATAGATATATACTCATAAGGAATATACCTTATATAATAACTTATAAACAATCTTGATAAAACATCTTGAGATAAGGAAACAAGGAACATTAAAATAAGAAAGGATATATCCCAAATTTCATCTATTTGTTTAATTACAAGAAAACAAGTAAATTTACTCGATAAATTCGAGCTAACTTAAATATATCAAACAAAGCTATAACAAGCGCATTTTCCATTAAATGTCTCCCTTTTTTGTTTTTACAAATAATCCAATTAAAATAACAACAATAACTAAACGCATATGAATAGTTCCTTTTTTTTATACAGAAGTAGTAATTATACACGACCACCCAAATATCTGGTGTGATCGGTTTGGAAACAGTAATTTGGTTCGTTGATGGTGAAACCGAATGATGGAACCGAGCGTGTGCTTCGACGTAAAATCATTACCAAATATCCATCTATGAATCTTACGTCGCAGTACAAATGAACGAACAAAATGCCAGATCGCGACGACACAAAGGCACGACGAATTTGTAACTCCTCCAACTGGCATTAAAAATGTTCCTTTTCGATCATTTCGACCATTTCGAGTCTATGCTTTGTTGTTCGTTAACAAAGTAGTAGAACTTATTTTGTAATTCCAAGAAAAAAGAAAAATCATGTACCACGCAGACTCGAAAGGATTCGATGCTAAATTTTGAACGTTCAATCCTCCCAGCTTTCGTACTATACATATAGTTTTACTGTATTACAGCTTATTACATTAAATTGTGAAAAAGTTCACTCTAAGGAAATGGTTGGGCGTCTAAAAAAATCCCTGCTTCTGAAAGGATTAAACGATCTTTTACAGGAAGGAATTTTTCACTACTTCTACACATCGTAAAAATTATGAAAAAGGAAGAAATTTAGCGGGCGTTAAAATCGTTTGGCAATGTTGTAAAATACATACTCGCATAATAATAATCTAATCGCTTCGATTTATTTTCTACGATTAATGTTAAATCTGTTTCTCTTTCCCCCTTTCTTTTCTCTCAAATCTTTTTCTCCGTTTTGGCAAAAAAGAAATGAAGCAGGACGTGTCCTCTATAACGCAATACACGATAGAATCTTATTGCTTAAAAGATCACAAAAATTCACTGGAAGTTTGAATCGATTACTTAAATTAAATAGTCAACCAATAAAAAACACATTATACACGATACTGATTACTTTTCAAAATGTAAAAATACAAATAATTTGTCCTTTCTTACGCATCTTTTATTTCTGATCACCAAGATATAGTGATGTAAAGAGAGATCCCGTAAAAAGAAACATATTTAACGAAATACCAATGAAATCACAAGGTTTTATGGCAAATGTCGAATAATTTCGATCAGTATTCGAGCTGCCGGCTCACGGAGTTCTCACGTCGTACAATTTCAAAATCGCACTTTACGATATAACTATCGTGTAGTATGATTTAAATGTAACAGACCGATAAAAAGTATCAAGAATTAAATCTTTCAGCAACAAACTTGTTCGAATATTTCAAGTGTCTCGTCACCACGGATCAACGATATGCGAAATATCGATATTCAAGAACGGAACTCCTTTTTGAGACGGCGTCATGAAAAATACACGACACAGATAAAAACGTATGGTCGTAAATATTTGAACTTTCTTTTCCCTTTTCTACCGTTGAACAAAAAGACGACGTATTTACTCAAGGGTGGTTACACTCTTTCTGTTCAGTTTTAGGAGTTATAACAAAGTGACTTTTATATATAACTTCGAAAGCTTCGAATGTACGTCTTAGCGAAGGTAGACGAGAGATAGAGGCGGAAAGCGATGTTAACATAAGATCGAAGAGAGAACCAGAAGAGTCTGCCTCCGGGTATATTCTCCGTCTCCCTAATTGGATTGCATTCCAAGCAGTAGCGAGTAATGGACCAATTACAGTAGCTGATGGCAAGAGCAACCTATATGGCTCCCGAGATATCATTACTTCGCTGGATTAGAGAAACTCATACGGGGGTTTCCGCTCTGATAAATAAAAACTCCGACCGATCTTTTACCACTCGCGCCTCGCGTTACCGCTTCGCGTACCGGTTTCCTTGCGTTTTCCCGATCACAACCAGCTTTACACCGACTGGGATAACTACGGCTAAAATGAAGATAAACTCCCTGAAGGGAGTCGGTCTGCACCGATTCTCAAAGGGATCCATCTACCTTTTCTTCTTCTCTTTCATATACTTTAACTTAATCGTATTTTCAAATGTGTGTGTTTTTTTTTTTTTTTTTTTTTTTTTTTTTTTGGACCAGTTTCGTAACTGCACCTCTCTGTGGAATTGAATATCTCTAGCGAACGCTAATTTAATTATGAACAAATAGAAACATCGAAAAGGCCAACCGATGGGATGTATGAACATAGCGATTGCTCGTTGGAAACGGCGAGCAATGAAGTCGGAGAACAACTCGCACCATTAGATTATGCTTCTGTACGATTAGTGGTTGTTGTTTGTTATAACGCTTTTCGCGATCCTCAACCAGCGTTCTGAGCCGTCAAACAATTATACGGCACACACGTAACACCAGAGACACCAATGAATAACATGCGTTTTGGGTCACGGTACTTCGAAACAACAGAAAACGCAGCAGTACTAATAGCACCCCGAATTGCACAGCTTTGTGAATCCAGTATAATCTGAAACAGATTATATCAGATAGATTAGTATCATAATATATATATAAAAGGATAATTTCGAGATATTTTTTAAGTTAAATACGAAGATTACAAGGGAAAATATGATAAGTACAATTTAGTTCATTTTCTAGTTCTCATTTAGTGTTTGATATGACATAGCTGAAAAGAGGAACAGCCTATTCGACCTAAAGACATAAGTCTTTTAGCAGTAGATAACATAATATGATATTCAATGCTTTTGAGAAATTAGTATTCTTTATGCCGAATAATTAAATATTCTTTAATTTTATAACCAAATTTAAGAAATGGACAGTTTTAATAATATGTGATTGATTGACGAGGTATTGAATTTCAAAATGCTTTCATATGTAAAGCGTTTTTCATCTATTGTCTTCGTATGCTTGTATTACGTTGATTCTTCTAGTTAACGATATTAATTGTATCAAGACATCGGAAGGATTAAAGTGTATTAAATATGATCAAATATATATCTATATAAAAATAAAATCACATTGTAATTCATATTCTGTATTTTTTAGATTTCTATTTTTGTTATCATGAAGATTACTTACTTTTTAAGGTGTACACGAGCAGCTGGCAGTGTGTCCGGGTTCTCCTTGAGGAGGAAGTGCCGAATTCCCAAAATATAGTGTTCCAAGTATGAAGCCCAGTCAATTTGTCTAACGTCGAATGTAAATGTCTGGCGGTCCTCGAGACTAAGCTCTTCGTTTAATTCTCGAACATTATCATCTTTGAATATCCATTGTTGCGTAGTAAAGTACTCCAAGTATTTGGTAGCTTTTTCAAGTTTCGATTGTAATGTGACCATATTGGCCGTCTTGCCCTTCAGTCGAAGAGTAAAGTCTAAAATGTGCGCCGGTACAATGTGCTGGATGAGCATGCATATTTTGTTCACTATAGCGGAATTGTGGCACCTGCCACCTGGGTACCAAATCACATCGTTGTATGGGTGCATTCGGCTGTACTTGAATGACAGTTCAACGAACTTCCTCCAGGTGATTGGGTTCTGTTGGCCTGTGCAGCAATTGTATATGGGAATCGTCTTCGTGCGATTCGTCGCGGTCTTCCATGCCGCGACGATCATCAAATTGATCACTATGTCGACCGGCACTATATCAGCTACCATTTCTCCCCGGCAAAGCATAGTTCTGCGATGTATATAACGAATGTTTATTTATTAATAACAGAGTCAATCATTTCAGTTATAAAGTTTGTAAAGAAACAAAGAATTCACTGAATCTTATATTGTTTATTGGTTTAACTAACATAGAAATTACTAGGTTCCGAGCTTACCTGAAGAAACCTTTGCCAGCTGCGGCAATAAGACCAGTCGGTCCGTTCCAATTATCTAACCATCCGGCAACCGGTTCTCTAAACGATGATAGAACTATAGTGGGTCTCACAATTGAAATCGGTAAATAATCAGATTCTGCTTCCAACATTCTTTCCGCTAGGGCTTTGGTAAATGTATAGGTATTCGGTCGATTGCCGATCAAAATTGGTGTTATATCGTCAACCATCTTGTCATCCATCACCTTCGTCAAAGCGAATATTTGTTCTGGTTCCGCTATAAGAGGATAGATTTCTTCAGCGATGTCCTTACGGTCACAGTTGCAATATGCCGTTGAAACATGGATCAGCGCCTATACATAAAGACATAAGGATTAATTTATCTTTGCTAGCCTTTCTCTTCAGTTTTACTTTAGAAAAAAAAAAAAAAAACACAGATCCCTAATCGTTACATTTTATAGATTAATAAATTAAATATGTCAGACTAACATAATAATTAATAATAATCGTTCAGGGATTGAAAGGTAATAAGAATGACATGTTTATATTATAATAGACTACAGCGTACTACTTTCTTTACCTCTAAATTTTGCATACGGTGACACAGATTCAATAGCTGTTTAGTGCCGACCATGTTAATAGTAACCGAAATCTTGAGAGCCTCATCAAACTTCACAGTAGCGGCAGAATGAAAGACGACTGACACGTTTCTTATTAGAACGTTCTGATCAGATTCTGAAATACCCAGTTCGTGTTCCGTGATGTCTCCAGGCACGGCGATTACCTTCAGAAGCTCATTCGGTGCGTCTCGACGTAATTTATCGAACAGCTGCAAACATTTCATTACGTTAATTTTTGCTATTTAATGGAAAATAAAATAACTGCAAAGAGACATTAGGTTGTTCAACAAGTTCACGGTTATCTTCATCGCAAATTCCTATGAAATAACGAAACGTTTGAACAAATACCGCTCTTAAATGGATATTAAAGGGAGATCCTCACGGGCTAAACCGATCAACTCCACTGTTTATTAATTTCTTACTTGAAAATTCCAATTTTCAAGAGAAAGAAACGACTTAAATTTCCATAAGTTCATCTACTTGTAAGATGGAAAAAAGTTTTCTGTATTTTGCACTACTTAAGGTAAGTTGCATCATATGGATTAATGTTAATTCTATGAAAACTTTAAAATTGTTCTTCGTTACGAATTTTCTGAACAATCTAATACATGTCCGGTATATTGGAATATTTTTACAATACACGAAAGCCCAATACAAGAATAATAATAAAATATGAAACAAAATATTTCAAGCACATTGTATTTCTTTTAGCATTCAAGAATAATTATGTTACGATTTTGTTGATTGTTACGACAAAATAACGGGTAAATATTTTTAACTGAACAAAGAAAAAATACGGTGCAAAATAAAAAAAAAAGCGATAAAATCTGAATTTTCTCTAGTTTCGAAAATAGGAAATACTTTAATTAAAGGAGAAAACAATGCAGTTGAACACACCGGTCCATTCAACAGTGCCCGCAACCTCTGGTGTGCATCTTGCCCCTTTTTATTTCTTATCAAGACATAAATGTTCTTTATTGGACAAGATCTGAGCAGTTTCTCGACAAGGACTTTGCCCATAAATCCAGTAACACCAGTCACGAAGATGCTTCTATCCCTGTAGAATTCCTTTACGGACGTAGTCTGACTGCCACTTATTGTACTCATCTTGACGCGTCTACTTTCTTCTTCTCTTTTATTTCTTCTTCGTTCAAAATACAATAATTCTTAATTAAATTCTTATTTTCAATAATATCCAGAACGTTTTATATATACGACGTTCTATGCTGTCTTTTCTTTTGGAAGCTTCTTAAGAACACCTCTTCTTCAATTATTTCCCTTTTCCTCTTTCTTTCTTCTTCTTCTTCTCTCTCTCAATCTTTCTCTCTTCGGCTTTATCTTTGGTCTTGATACGATCTTTGATACTTATCTTTTTTTTTTTTTCTTAAATGAGATATAGATCTATATGTACACGTATATCCTCCTTCTTTTTCTTCTTTTTTTTTTTTTAATCTTCTGTTATTTTTTGACTCATTCGTTTGCGACTGTACAAGTTAGCAGAAGAAGAAACGCAGCTCCCCTATAGATGGGCCAGAGTTTGAGAAAGTTGCAACGATAGCTAGCACAGGTTCACACCGTTCCACGGGTTTCCAAGTGGGTTACGAATGGATTTTATTTCTGGTGGAATCATTTCGTGCCTCCTTACGACCACGGCATACACTTGGCTGTAACAAAATCGAACAACGCAATGTTAGCAACGTTTGAGACGCGTCTGTTTCATTTAATTTAGCAATTTAATTGGAAACGAAAGAAGTTCAAGTAGCAGCGAAAAATGCAGAAATATAAAGACGCGTTGAAAATACAGAGTAACTTTGGCAAAATTAATTCGATGAATATATTTTGCAAATCAGATCACGTTTCTATGCATTTTCGCATTACCATTTCCTCTGTCATAAAAGAAACGATCGTTCCTGGTTAGCTACTATGAATTTCCTAGTCAATCCATTCAGAATTAAAATAAATACATTTTTCTTTTATTTTATTTCTTAAAATTACAATCAATTCTCGCGTTGAGAATTTTCAATAATTAAAATAAATTAATGAAAAAGTATTTCGAGAATTTGCTCGGTATCTTTCCGTCACTTTTACGTTACTTACTTCTTTCGCTCAAATTCCACGATATGAGGAAGTTCGAGAAAATTGAAATACTTCGTCCTTGTAATAAATTACTTTTCTCAAATTATAGCTACTCCGTGTCAGCAGTTATTGCTATTTGTCAGACAAAATCTAATTAAGAAATGCGCCCCACTAGCTTGAGGCATACACTGTAAAATTTCTAAATTTCTTCTATCAACTAATATATATCAATCATTTTCAGATAACTGTTACGAGCGGAACTTGATAACGTACTTACGACCATCTAGGCAGTTGTACGATAAAGTGAAACTCAAGGGACTTATCTTTCCGCGAATTCTTTCGCTCGATCAATCCACGATATTACAATTGAACAAAGTAATACGATGAAAAAAATATTTCGAAAGGAGGAACACGAGCGAGTTGCATCATTCGTTGCTCGAAACTATTCGTTCCAAACTTTTCAAGTCTATTCGTTGATATACCGTGTGTCTCGCGCTGTTCGATCGAACACAGTAACGATAGAAAACCAAAATTTTATAAAAATAAGCTTATAATATAATGCAAGTTTAAATTTGTTAAAAAATAGTAATTGTTTAAATCTTCGCTCGAAGAAGTTTGTATAATCTGAATTATCCATCGGTAGAAGAATTACGAATGATTACAATTTTCCAGAAAAAAAAAAAAGAAAAAAAAAAGAAAAGTTAAACGGATCTATTGCAGTCTATTGGCGCAGTAATGATGATTAGATAGCGTTTCCTCGATTATGTTTAGAAAAATACAAATTCGCATAAATATCCGTCGTTTATCAATGGGAGATCGCGTAATGGGATAGTGACGAATAGATAGAAGATCCAAAAAGAAACATAGACGTGCAGATAGTAGCTTGTAAGAGCATGATATTACAGAAGATTTAAACGTTCAGTGGCACGTGTCGTACGATCTCGTATGATGTACGCTGAACCTTCCTTTCAAGCTTCTATTCTAGTGCATATAAATGAAGCGACAGTGTGTAGTATCGATGCACGTAGCTTGAATCGAAGACTGAACGACACAGAGCGACATTGAATGGACGCGTGTTTAACTTTTGCTTTTTATTAGCTTACATTGGCCGAATAATGCGCATTCAAACGTTTTCTTTCTAACTAACGATAAAAACATGGGAATTTAAACGAGCTGGCAAATCGATTTCTGAACACGTATATATCTGTTCCACAACGTTAAAAATGACTTGTGTCACGCGAACTTTGTTTGCTAGTTCATTAGGAAACATAATTCGCGAGTGATATTGAATGATAAATGAATCATAAGTAAAATTCGTTATCAAAGTCACAGATATCCTATTGTTAATTATAGCAAGACGAGAAACATTGATCGGATCCGTTCAAAAAATTAAGTTATAGCGACAGATATAGCAAAAGAGTGAACAAACACCGAAACCAGATTCGCAGGTTGAAGAGGCACTACCCGCTAGACCTAAACGCTAGATTCAATTAGTTATCTAAATTAAGTAATATTTACTTATTTATAATACTTACTTATAAATTATAAGTATTAACTTATTATAAATAATCAGCCGTGTCACTGCGCCACGCCAGAAAAATGACTGAAAATTCTCGACGCGAGAATTGATTGTAATTTTAATAAATACATAAAACAAAAAAATTAAGAAACTTTCCTTAACCCTTTAAGTGTACGATATATCATGAAACAATTTCAAGGATGCAATGCTGGTTTTCCTTCGCACAGAAAAAGCTGGGACTGAAAGAATGTCGAGTGAGACACGACGAAGAAGCTCCTGAGATAAAAACGACGTAGAAGTGCAAAGGGTTAAGAAAAACCGTAATCAACGATAACGACAACTATGTTACAGAGTTCATAAAAATCTTGTCTATTTCATTGCTAAAACAAGCAAACGTTCTTTGATTTGGAATTGCATAATATCGATCAAACCACGTTAAACGATCATCGACGATGACGAGTAGGTTCGTGATACGATTCGTAGAGATATTTCTCGTTTCTATTAAAACCAACAAACTTCTACGAATCTGAAATTCGTGATCTGTCGCGTGACGATTTTCTCGATCTTAGGTCTGTTTCACGTCTCGTCGAATTGTACCATGTTCCAGATGAATAGCAGAAGAAGAGGAATATGAGAGACGAGGGAACTTTTAGATACGCGCTGCTAAGCGCAAAAGCTGGAAAATACTAGAAATGTAGATAAAAGCGGTTTCGATACGATTCTAGGTCAGCGTCCTGGCCTCGAAACGGTCACGAGAAGCCGCCCATTCCTCGGCCTCCACGGACGAAGAAACAAGGAAGAAAAGAGAGGAACGTCGCTCGACCCCGTTACACGAAAACCCGTTATGCGACGAACAACGACCTGCCGACTGACTGACAAAATCCTCCTTTCCTTTCTGTTTCTCTCCGTCTTCCGCTAATCCAGGTTTCCTCCCTCACAGGGCCAATCTTCATCGGTTTATTCTTTCCGCCTTTCTCTCTGTCTTTCGTTAGTTTATAACACGATATACACTTGTAAGAGTTCGTCTTCTATTCGTCAAGTTTTAGGTTCAGCAATAAAATTCGATCATTAGTTGCAGTGGTCTCCTATTTTTCTTCTTTTTTCTCAATCAAATTTCCGATAATTTAAGAGTACACAAGAGACACGTGGTTTCTTTGAAACATTTTCGTTGAAATATTATACGCAAGAGAAATTCGTATGGAAAAACTGTGATATGTACAGAACATACAGCGGCAAACGTATAAATAGGAAAATCTTTGTTTCTAATTGCTAGTACTAATGACATTCTACGTTATAAATTCCTGAAGATATATGAAGGTATATTGAACATCTTAATTTACACGATATAGGTCACTTCTTATCTAGCAATGGTAGTTAAGGATTAATCAGGTTCCTCTGTTAAAAATGATCATCTGAGAATTTGATATTCAAATGTAAAGTTGGCGGCCTACCGAACGTTACAATTATGAGAATAAATAGCGATAACAAGGACGTAACAACGCAGAAATAGGTAGGATGGAAATTCTTAGCGATAATGGTTGTACGTTCATGTACATTATGCATTGCAATTTAACACATCGCGTATTACGAGGTCGAGAAGAATACGCAATGTAACGACGCCGAACGTAGCATTAGATTATTATCCGTTGTGCAATCAGAACGCGAAATTATCGAAAAACATAGCCAGGGAAAGTGAAAGTCCACTTAAAACGTTGCCGCTAAACGAGAGCGTAATATTATGCCATTGCGAAAACGTGCGAACGAAGAATCAAAATCGGTCTTCCGGTATATATAGATAAAGTCGGATTTCTTTTTTCAATTTTTCTTTTCCATCGGTCTGAAGTTATCGCGGAAAGGAATATAAACAGTTCTATCTCCAAACTGAATAAAAAGGCTGATGATTCGGTTGATACAAGAACGTAGAATCAAAAACTCGTTATCAAAAATTAAGGCTTTAGGACTGTAATAAAAAATATTTTCTCAATTAAAAAACGTTCATATGCCATTAAAGTCGATTCCCTTACGATGGCTAAGAAATCGTTCGAGGTACGAGCCAAAGCTTACTCGTGGAAATTCCACTGATTTTCTTTATCCATTTCTTCCGAACGATCCCAACAAATTCCTTTCTCTCTCTCTCTCACTCTCATTCTTCTATAATTTGAAGAATCAATACAAAAAGCGTGACATCGGTTTTCAAGCATCGCGTTTGGCGAACCGCCAAAAGACATATGTTGCTAGTAACTTTGGGACCATTAAACCAGCGTGCTTCTGTAAGTAGCTTAACTTTCGTTCAGAATGACACGAAACGCGGAAAGCCTTTCGGATAGACCTCGAGATAATAACAAATTGTATAATATCAACTCGAACATTGTCAGAAACGTTAAACTCATCTCGGCGAAGGAATTTTGGAAAAGTGACATTTTTTCATTTTTAATTTGGAAAATAGCTCAGCAGTCGATAGAGGATCATGATTTACTTAATCTACAGATTCCTCGCGGCTATCCTTCCTAATAAATTTACGTAGCTACGTAAAATGCAAAATGAGCGACTGAATTCTTACAATCGGATAATTCTTAGAATCTGTGGCACTACAGGAACCCTGTTGGGACGTGGGTTCTCGTTAAAACTAGAGCTACATGTCCCACTTTTTAAAAACCGTAATCGACTTACACGAGGTATTCAGCGAGATGGTGTGCACGACTTTTAAAACGCATTTGCGATAACGTAGGGAAAAAGATGTTTGAAACGGAGGTTGATCCGTTTTGAATCACCTACAAATTCAAACTGATCAAACGGTCGAAAAATATTTCTTTCTATAAGAGATCAAAATCATCTTGGTTTTCTAAATGGCATGATGTAAATAATCCTGATCTCATAGTGTCGTAACTGATAACGAAACCAGTTATGTAACTTCGATGGTTGAGAATTACGGGCGACCTTGACTTCAGAAATCTCGGATTCATTGACTCGTGGATTTATTAAACCGTGAAGTTTGATTTAATCGAGCGTTAGGACGGATGTTACGGATAACGTTTGCGCAATTAACAAATTGCAATAGTTCAAACTACC